CGTCCGTGGCGGCGGGCGGGTGCGGGGCGGTTTCTGACTGACCGGCGCGGCAGCGTGTGAGGAGAAGGGCGGGAAGGGGCTTTGCTTAAAAATAGACAAAAAGAGGCCTCGCAGACGAGAAGGAGCGAAGGGCCTCGGAGCACTCCTTGGTGTGGCTGTCCGGGTGAGCTGCCTAATCCAGCGGCTTGCTCCTCTCCCTGCCAGGTTGTCTATCAAGTTCCTCTAAAGGAAAATCATGTCTTGAAGAGAAATGTGGATCAACAGCTAAGAATTAAGATTATATATGACAGAAGTGTTGAGGAGTGAGTATAATGTTGTGGTGACTTTTTTTTCCCCTCCATATCTGAGAATGGAAATCCTGTTAACTAAAGCTTGTTTTTTTTGTTTTGTTTTTTTTTTAACTATAGTTTGCTACCTGAGAAAAGACACCTTATAAAGGTATGTCATATTTGCTTCCCTCTTTTGTTTGTACGTATTTTATTATGTGGATGAAGTTAAGGTTTTGCCAGTTCAAAGCCTTTAATTAAAGGCTTTGAATACCAGCAATTTTATGTCCTCTAGTCAGGGAGAACAAGGCTTTGTGTACAGATTATGCCTCGGTTCCAAATACTTCCAATGTTCTGTTGAATGTTGTTTGACAGGTGCTTGCTATATCCCAATGTGCAAAGATTCAATAAGCGATATGCATATAGTTTTTAAAGCTTTTTTGGCACCTGGCTTCTTTTAAGAAACTGTGCAAGTAAGGAGTAAAAGAGGGTGCAGCAGTCAGGCTTTAGGATTGCAGAGAGACAGGAGCTCCAGAGAAATTTGTGATGGACAGTTCCCAGTGACCAGTAAGTTCAGGGCTGAAATAAATTCAGCCTCTTTGAAGCTGTACATTCAAATTAATACTGGCTCCCTTCTCATTTTGTCATTCCAATAACAAAATATGGGAATACTGAAACAAAATATTTCCTAAATATATTGATGACAGTCCAAAACCAAAATATTTCCTAAATATATTGATGACAGTTGAACTTCTTAGGAAGTCTGGATTTCTGCTAATCTGCTGTACCGCAGGATCTAGCAAGTTTCATGTAACCTTGTAGGTAACGCTTGTAAGGTGACTTATGTCTGCACTGCTACTGGGTGACTTTTATTTTTGTTCTATTTAGAACAAACTTTTTCCACAAGCTATATCTTATTTGGAGAAGACATTTCAAGTGTGCAAATCCACAGGTACTATATTACTAAGCAGGTATGTGAAAGTTTGTTGAAAATCACTTGCTATATTTGATATTTAACATTGTGTTGTATAGCCTTTAAAATAAGAATAGAATAAGAGCCTAAGAAATGCCCTCCTGAATCAGATCGGTGACCCATCTGACCCAGCAGCAGTAGCAGATGCTATTTAGGGAGCATACACAAATCTGCCAACCTTCCGTGATCAACATCTACATTTGTTTTATTGGAGATTTTAAAGGGTGTACATGCTGCCTGTTTCCTTTTACGTGTATACCCACGTATGAACCTGTTCCTAATCTCTGTCTGAACCTGTGGATTAACAGGTTTGCTCTATTAACAATTGGAAGCATTATGTCTTCCAGAGCAGGGTAACTAACAATTCTCACCATGGAAGTTAGATTAAATACCTGTATTACAGTGTTGTTGGGTGCTGTAAGACTATTCTACAGTTTCTTTTTAATTATAAAACAGTGCTGACTCTCTCTCATGTTTGATTGAAGGCAGTGTGCGACAAACCAATATTTAAGGAGGAAAGCTGACCCTCACAGATACTGCCGAGGAGCCTGCGCAGACCATACAAGATGTGGGCCAGTTATAGTTCCTGAGAAACACCTCCAGGTAAGCTAAGCCATCCAAGTGCTTCTTAACCTTTGAAATATTGTTGTTTTTGGAAAGTAATAAAAAAGTTAATATCACTAACTGTGCATAAGTGACCTGTTTGCAGGAGATCACTAAGTCTGAGTGACAGAATAGAACAACTTTACTTAGTGGGAGTTTATGCTGTTGAACCAAAAGTCAAGTAAAACTGGACTGTTTACTGTTCTCTAAGCCTGTGTTATAATGAACTGTACAGAGAGGATGAGATTCAAAGCTTGTTAAATTGCTACTAGTCAATTCATTATTCACCTTGGTCAATGAGTCAGATTTTCACAGAATTAATAATAAGTTTTGATTTTTTTGAAGACCTTATTTGAAGAGGTTATCCACTGAACCAGGAGCACAGTGCAGGAAATGCTTCTAACTTGTTTTCTTGCATGAATTTTTTGATTCAACTACAGTATGTGATCAGGAGATTTCTTTCTTTCTCTTAGCCTGAAGTTTCAACTACAGTATTAAAAATGTACCAGATTACATGTGAAATGCAATTGCTACTTATGTATACTATTTCTGTGAGCCAAAAATTTTTTTAATTTGTAGAAAATAAAGGGTGCTAATTTTGGGATATCTAGCTTGGCAGGCCCTTTTTTTTTTTCCCAAAAGCTGCCACTTTCCTGGTGTCTAATAAATCAAAAGAGCTAGTCATTTGAACGTTACTCCTTGGCTCCGGTTTTGTTTACTGTCTTCATAGGGAATTTTCTCATCTTCCGCTGTCTTACAATGGGATTTATTCTTGGCTTCAAGCTAATTGAATTTTGTCATGCAAAATTTTGGTCATACCTAAAGTATTTTAATTGTTCCATTTGAACATTGTCAAAGCAATGCAGGGTGTGCAATGAGAATGAATGGCACTGCGGACCCACTGGCTTACCTGACCAAGAAGGGGTTCGAGATGCTGACTTCGTACTTTATGTTAGTGCTCTCACTACTGAAAGGTGTGGCCATGAAAATATCATTGCGTATGCAGCCTACTGCCAACTGGAAGCTGAAATGGACAGGCAAGTATTCCCGCTGGTACAAACTTTCAAGTTTTTTAATTGTTTAGATGCGGAATTTAATTGTTTGCCTGTCTTGTATAGTATACCAAAGTAGAAGTCATTATTGAAAGAGACAAGCACTATATTTATGTAAAACCACAAAGCAATCAAGTAGTGCTTAACTTGCAAAGCTGAGGCATTTAATTCAAAGCTAATCCTCCACTGTTATTGCCTAAACTTTCAAGATTCTGCTTTTGTTGAAGTGAATGTCATACTTTCACAAATTTAAAGGAGGATGCAAGTGGGCCCTACTTATGTGCCTTTTGTTTCTAGTTTGGTTGTAGTCATTGTAACAGATGCTTTGTACCTCTATAGTGTCTTACCGAAAATTCAGATCTCCTATACTGTTGTCACTAACACATGTGCAGAATACTGAATATAGAGACTGATCCTGTCCCATTCCTCCCCATTTCAACAGTAAACTAGTCACTGTATCGTTAACAGACTATTTATTAATGATTGGGGAAGTTGTTTGGAAGGACTTATTTTTTACATTAGTCTCCATTTTCTTTTAAGTCTTCTGCCTCTTCAAGTGAATATGATTTGAATTTGCTACTATTTTACTGAAAACAGTTTAATTTTAAAACTGTCTTCCAGGCCAATAGCAGGCTATGCTAACTTGTGTCCAAATATGATTTCAACGCAAGCTCAGGAATTCGTTGGCATGTTGTCTACAGTGAAACATGAGATTATCCATGCACTGGTAAGGGTTGATGTTACAAAATGTGTTTCCCTGAAATTTGTGCCTGCTTCCTCGCATACCTCCAGCAAGAGAAGGATGTTTGGTGGGGAAAAGCTCTTGCTTTGCCTCCTTCAATTTGTGTGTTAATTGCCTTGAGGTGCGGTACTTCCAGTGTATCTGCTGTGGGAGTGCTAGCTCTTTCATGGCGTTTGACTTTGTATGTGAATGTCTTACCAAAGGTTTCCGTGTGCTTGGTTTTTAACTTGAAGGGTTTCTCTGCTGGACTGTTTGCATTTTATCGTGATGATGACGGAAAACCTTTGACAACAAGATATGCAGATGGACTCCCTCCTTTTAATGAAAGGTATTTTATTTTTTTTGGACCTACTCAGTACTCCCACTGAAGGATGTTTTCACGTTGCCTTTTTAGGATGTATTCTTGCCTGTTGAAAATCCACCTTGATTCCATTATTAGAATACTTTGCCTTTACTATATTCAAACATTGGTGTGGGGTGGTTTTTTTTCAGTCTTTCTTTACATTGGCATTAAGCACTTACATTATCCACATATATTACAAACTAAGGCAGGTTTTCATTTATCAGGAGGCTTGAAGTTAAGCATTAAAATTACCCATGCTTAAATTTCGATGCTTGCTGAACACCTTACTAAATTGAGACTTGTATTTTCTGTAGTCTGTATAATGTCAGTGCAGTTCATTTTTATGACAAATATCATTCAAGGTTTATAGTTACGCAGAACCGACAACGTGTGTAGTCTGCTGCATGATTTTTCTGACTTGTTATTGAATGAACAGTTTGCTTTTTTTTTTTTCCTTCATTTAGTTGATAGTGTGGAAACTTTCTAGGGTTTTTTTTTGAGGTGAAAGGGGAATGAGCTTCTGGTTTTGTTCACCTTCCTTTTTATAATAGCAATTCTGAGGATTTTTATTTCATTTCTTACACTTTTGGTAACTGTAGAAAATACGTCTTGAGTCTACAGACATCTTTTTAATAATCTTACTTTGGCTTATTAAATCAGAGTTGTGTATATAATGAACACATCTTACAAAGGAGGGATGTTGCATAATAAATTCTAAACTTAAGAAAGCGTGAGGAAGTATAGAGATTACTCATGATTCTGTTTCTTATGGAGATAAATCTTTGCATAGTAGCGTGGATTTGTGGGAAAGGTTTGTAACCAAAGCATTCTTCTTACAGTCTAGGTTTGTATCAGTGGAGCAATAAAGTCGTTCATAAAGCAGTGAGGTTATGGGACATACGCGGTGGCAAAATGCTGCACCATGCTGTTTATCTTCTGATAACACCTCGTGTAGTTGTAAGTGTGGATTAACTTAAACTTTTACACTTTGTATGCCAAGGTTACCATCGCATTCTCGAGTCATAAATATTTCTTATTCTTTAAGAAGTAATAACCTAACATTGAATACCCTTATCCTGAAAGCATGGCCCAAAGACTACGCGATTAAGACTGTATAATTAGTTGAGAGGGTGTATCCAAAGTAAAGTGGAAAATGGTTGACAGACAGCATGAAATAAATAAATTGACATAGTAAGAGACAATGAAGGGACTGGGAAGTAAATTATAAAAGGTTAAGCAAAACTGACGTTGAATAGATTCCTTAATCCTACTTTTCTACAGACTTGGACACCTAGTATTCCCGAGCCTTAACAGATAGTGTTGTTACTGCTTTTCTCATTTATAAGTTCATCCTATTTTCTACTTTTCTCTTTAAAAGCATTATTTTAATCTTTTTCTAATTTTATTGATTATGCAGTTAACATTTTGTCATGTTTAAAAAGAAATTCCTCAATTATTCTTGGAAATCTTTCTGGCTTCCCATGCCTCTGACTCTCCCCCGCACCCCAAACAGAACAAATGCTTAAGTGTAATAAATTGGTATTGAAAATTACAGTGTTAATCATATTTGGCCACAAATAATCTTTTTGTTTTAAATCTAACACAGCATATAGAGCAAACTTGGTTTAATTACCCCTGTTTTGAAAACTGGCCGTGCTTGTCAAACTGTTCAGAGCATTAAAGGTGCTCGTGGGTAGTGCCGCACTGGCAAAGGCTGGGCTCCTGACCCTAAGACCACAGCATTTTTGTGATGCCTCCTAAGATTTTCAAATATTTTGCAGAAAACACTTCCCCATGCAAAACTAGTTGACATGTACAGCTTCCTAATAGAAAAGTGGTTTTTCTCTGAAACGTTTGGCAGAAGCAGGGTTGTAGTGTTCCTACATTGTTTGGGTGGTTTTGTTGTTTGGGTTTTTTTAATATGGTCTTTAGTGTATTCTCAGCTAATTCTGTTGCTCTTTTATTCTTGTAAACTTCCATTGTTTATTTCCAGGAGATAAGTAGACAGACTGTTAGGCTTGGTTTTGGGGTACTTGCTGGCTTAGTCAGCCTCTGAGTAGAAGTGTTTTACATCCAGAGGAAAACAAGGTGGTAGAAAAAGAAATGCTGAAATACGTTTAAGAGAGAATTCTAGAAGATTAGGACTGCATGTGGGTATCCGTCTCAATATTTTAGGAGTTGCGTTGAAATGTTTTCTTTCTAGGAAGAAGCTCGAAAACATTTTAATTGTCCAATTCTAGAGGGAATGGAGCTTGAAAATCAAGGTGGCATGGGTACTGAGCTCAATCATTGGGAGAAGAGATTGTTGGAGGTTAGTGCTGATATTAGGAATGGAGGGGGATGTGGGAACGTCTGCTCCCCCTGCCTTTATTTTTAGGTTTATAGTGGTACCTACTGGAGCCTTGAAAATGCAGGTGTATCAAACCTCACTGAAATATATCACAAACAGTACTAAACTACAAATACTTAAATGTCCAATTTCTAGATAAATCTATCTTTTTACCTTATTGCTAAGTCTCAGAGTATGAGTTTGAGATAAGCTGACTATTAAAAAACTAAATGTCTCTTACTTTTGTCTGCCATTTACCCTTTTGAGAAGGTATGCTCCCTTTTTAGGGGAAAGGGGGTATTCCTTTGAGTCAATTCAACTTTGTCACCCTCTGCCTCTTATACATCAAATATTTGATCATTCTGTCTATTCATTATCTTGACTTCATCTTTATTCATGTGCCCTGGGGTTAGCTTTTGCCATCTCTACTCCAGAACATCATCTGATCAAGGAAACACTTATTTCCCTCCTGACATTTAAGCTTATTTTTATTTATAACTTTGCGTTGTGTGATACTTTAGGCAGAGATACACTTTGTAGTTATTGTTGTATGCAGTGAGGTAATCAAGAAGGGAAATGCTTCAGGACAGACTTTTTTTTGGAAGTAATCTTGAAAAATACGTATTTCTTGAGATCGAAATTGTTAGCTTTTCCTGCTTTTCAGTAACCTTTGGTGTGGAACAGTACTTTAAAGCCAACTGGAAAGACTGCCATTAGAATGAGGATAATTCTAAGGATTGAATAGGATTAGCAAAAAGTAGATAATTACTAGTCTCCTTTACACCTTTCCAGAGAAAGTTTCTATCTGGGAGGTAACCCATATAGTTTGGTTTTGGTCTTGATCCAACTCTTGTTAAGTATTGTAGCAGTAGCAAATTTGGCGCTAATAAGTCTGCTGGTGGTAACTCCTCTTAACCACACTAGTGGAGAGGGAAGGCTGGAAAACTACATGTTTTGAAGAAATGGTAGAAATGAGATGAAGTTCAGTAATAGAAATTCCAGAGTTGTGTAGTTAAGGGTGAGTGACTTTTGCTGTAAGCCTGAAGTTTATCAGTTGGAAATGACTGAGCAGGAAAAAGACACGGTTATTACAATTGCCCGTTATAAGATGATTAGGAAACTCTAAGGTGACTGGAGTTGCTCTTTGAGGATGATGTGAACTTGCTTATTTTTAAATGAGATGGAAAATTCCACTGCCACACTAATAAAGCTTCCTTTGGAGTGCTGTGTTCCTTTAGTCATGTGTCATGTGCACCTCGCTCCTGAAAAGGACTACTAGAAATTACAGGAAAATTAAAATTCAGTCTTACACAAGACAATTAAATGAGCTTGGCTTTCAGCTTATGAAAAGGAGACAGAAGAGGGGGGTGTGATTGCTACTCATAAATATGCTAGAAGAAGGAAGAGTTTTATTTTACCTAAAGAAAAATGAGTACACGTTGGTCATGAATAAGGTTTAGCTGGAATTTGGAATGAGGTTTTTGACTTCTAGAATTCTGAAGCTTTGTAGGATGGAGTGGGGAAGGGAGTTGCACTTTTGGTCCCTTTTATGAAAGAGGTTGGGATTTGGCTGTCAATAGTAAGAAGGGACTGGAAATAAAATGCTTTTTCATAGAAAGCATTTTCTTACAATAATGATTTTCAGTGGCTTGCTAATAGTAACTGGTAACTTTCAGAATGAAGCAATGACTGGATCCCATACACAGAATCGAGTCTTTTCCAGGATCACCCTAGCATTAATGGAAGACACAGGGTAAGAATTAATAAGAATGGCGATTTTTTTTTTTGTTCATTTGTGTTTGGTTTTCATTGTAGTTGATTTTGTTTGGAATTGATGCACTTGTGCTTATCCATCTGCAACACAGTAGATAATCGACATAGTTAGCATTACATTAGACAAGGAGTTATACCTAGTATGTTAATTTTTCTTCACGTATTTCAAAACCCATCCGTTCTTAATCTAGCCTTAAAAAAAGTATGCATTGCAATGCATAGTACTGTCTGTAGACTGTCTATTTACTTTTTTTCTTAATATAAGTCTTCTCTCAGTTACATGGAGTATATATTGATTATTTTTTCAGCTCCTCTTGCAGATAGCATAAACTGTATAAAATTTCATCTTCCTGTACGCATTGTTCCTTTGCGGATCACGATGCATTGCTGTTGAACAAATAAGCAATAAAATTTTCTTTTAGTTCATTGTGACTTGAAAAATAGTGAAATTGTAATATATTCTGTTATAGGCAGAAAGGGATGCAGTGTCCCTTTTTCTTCATTTGAAGACCTTAAGGCATAGTATGAAGTTCTTTGAACTGCTGTTTTATTAATCAGAACACTAATTTTTGAAGTAACTATATTCTCATTTCAAATACTTTTACAGCTGGTATAAAGCAAATTACAGCATGGCAGAGAAATTAGATTGGGGACGCAATAAAGGCTGTGACTTTGTAATGAAGAGCTGTAAATTCTGGATCGACCAAAAGAGACAAAAGTAAGAATACAGTCTTTTTAAAAAAATAAAGAGGAAACCCTGATGCGTGTTTACATTTGTCCTTCAAATGCAACTCAGTAAAAAGAAGTAAAGGTAGATGCAGATTAACAAGGAATGCTGTCCTAAGTACCTTCAGAATGCATGCAAGAAGGAGCACACCAAATGTATTAAGAGCAGAAGCATCCCACCCAATAAATACAGAGCCAAACATCTTAGGGAGTAGAATGCATTTACACTATAAGAGGGCTATGCTTTAGAGAGGAGGGGAGGGACTTAATCTAAAAGTGTTTGCTTTCTTATTTCGTCCCTTTTAATTGGAAATGCAGCCTGTGTCATTTTGCATTACTGGATTGTACTTAAAGCAACAAAAGGAGATGATAGCCATCTTCAAAACAAAGAATTCCTTGTCTGTTCGTTACAATACTCATAAATTTCTAGGACACAGCTGCATAGTGGGCCTGTTTTGGTTGTATGTTTTTTTTCTTTAAAGTTTACAAAGCAATGTCATTAAATAAGTGAGTGCATTGTAACTTTGTTTGCTGGCTTGATATTCTTTAAATTAGAAAGGTCATAACCAGACAAGTAACAATAATTAGCCTCCAGAGAAGAAGTTGTTGCTTCTTTGTGTGATTGACCGAGTGTGGGAGAGAGTGGGAACACACAATCTTGACAGACTGCTTAGTTAAATTATGAAAAGCAGGTAAAGTGATCTAATTTGATTTTTATTCCTTTTTTTTTTTCTTTTCTTTTGAGGAGGCAATTAATCAGTCCATACTGCGACACTTTGAGGAGTAATCCTTTGCAGTTAACCTGCAGACAGGACCAAAGAGCAGTAGCAGTCTGCAACTTGCAGAAGTTTCCAAAGCAGTTACCTCAGGAATATCAGGTATAAGGGATCTTACTTTACCAAATAACTGTTTTCATTCTTGTGCTTTGCAGCCAGGTGATTATATTTGTTTCACTTTTTTTTCCTTCTGAACTAGTAGATGAGAGTAGATACTGTGAAAAATGTCTGCTTATTTTATTATAAGGAGTCTGGAGGCTGAAAAAAAGCCTTGTGATCGTAATAAAACAATAAGGATGTCGCTTGGCCATCAACCAAATATCAGATGGAAATGTTGCTGTATAACTGAAGTCCCCCAGAATGTTTTGTTTGAGGTATTTCTTCATCCAGTCTGCTGCCTTGTGTCACTGCACGCTAAGAAATTTGTTCTGTTTCGTCCCAGAGAATGCTATGATTACAAAGGGGAGGCAGGGGAAGGGGTGGAGTGATACATGCAAATGTGAATCTCTCTGCATTATTTAAGTATTCTTAAATACTTCTGGCTCATCTGGTTCATGGGTATTGTAAGTTGTTGTTAATAGCATTCCTGAGTAGTAATAGCTGATGTTCTTCCAGCTGTAGTGATTGGTTCTATTTAAAAACCAGTTGTACATTTTCCTTTGCGTAAACTGCTTCACTACCTATTTTGTTTTGCAGTATTTTGACAATCTTAATGGAGTACCAGCAGAAGAATTGCCTTATTATGGTGGCTCAGTAGAAATTGCTGACTATTGTCCCTTTAGTCAAGAATTCAGTTGGCATTTAAGTGGTGAATTTCAACGCAGCTCAGACTGTAGGATAATTGAAAACCAACCAGGTCAGTTTTCAGGACTTCGGTATGGTATTTAAGAGGCTACATTTGTTAATCTGGAATGGACTTGCTATGTATCCAGACTAATTGGATGTGAAATTAGTTTTACACTACTAGCTGTGTAAAAGCTGTGCTGGGGTGAGAAGCACAGCACAACTACCTTGTACACCTAGGAAGCAAACACTCACATCTAATACAAGAACTACATAAGAGCTGAACAAACATTAACCCCAAATGATCCAAATATAAGACAAAGGGTGGGGGTAGGTTGGTTGGTTGGTTTTTGAGTCTCTGAAAAATAATTCCAGTTTCCACCTTACAGGTTTTTCGTTCAAGGCAAGGAGCTTTGCAAATTACCAGAACGTGAGCTTGTCTCCTAGGGTAGCGCATGAACGTTCAATATTGTGGAGCTCCAGAATGCTGTAGGATATTACCTGTCTGTGCAGTTGTCTCAAAAACAAACAAACACCCTCTGCCCTCAAGCCAGCAGTCACAGCTGGCACTCCCTGGGGGCAAACATATCCATGTAGTTCTGATGGAAAGTGCTTGCCTCTTTTTTTTATTTTAAATCTTGGGTTTCTTCCCACTTTACATTCAAGGCAGTATAATTCCCAAATTGATAATGGTTAACGGTCTGAAAGATTCCAAAAGTAAACCTTGAAGTGCGTGTGGAGACATTGACTACTTATAGCATATTAAGTTGATATGGACCTTCCGTTCCCCTAATAAGGCACAATTCAGTGTATTCTTTCTACCTTAGATCCTACCAAAAACTATGGCGCAGAGAAATACGGACCAAACTCTGTATGTCTTATTCAGAAATCTGCTTTTGTCATGGAACAGTGCAGGAGGAAACTCAGTTACCCTGACTGGGGTAGTGGATGTTACCAAGTAAGTATGTGTTGGGTTTTTATCTTCTTTTTTTTTTTTTAAAGTGACATGAAAGGGAAAAGTCAGGCATAAACTGTAGGCTGTGACTGTTAGAACTTTGCACCTGGACACTGTACATGATCTTCTCTGCCTTAAATCACTAGATTCTATGACATGTTCTGAAAATAAATATCTTTCAAGCACAAGCCTGTAGTTTAGATCGTGCACCGAGTTAAGCATGTGACCACTGGGATGGCTTGTGTGTTACTTCCAGTCTTGCTAGGGACTTCACCTGTCTTACCCCTGTGACACTTTCTCCACAGCTAAGTAGGAATACTTATATTGGAATCTTCTGTTGTTGAAGCTTAATGGTAATTAGTCACTCTGATTTTTTCAAAGGTGGAAAGCACTGCGCACGTCACTTACTTTTCATTCTCCTCCTCTTCAGGACTATCTCACTAAAGGTGTCACTTTCAACAACAGCACCACTCTAAAAAAAAGTAGTCATTAGGATAAGCCAAATCTTACTCGTTCTCAGTTGATGGTCTGCATAATTGCACGAAAAGAGTAGTCAGTGCTTTAAAGCATTCTTGAACTAAATAGTTGCTCTGAGTGCATTAAAATACTTGCAGTTAATCTATGCTCTAATACCAGGTGTTTACTGAATGTAGTATTTACTTATTAAAAGAGCCTCCAAACCCCAAAGCATATTTCTGATAAATCATAATACAGATTTGACTATTATTCTTTTATTTTAGGTTTCTTGTTCTCCACAAGGGCTGCATGTTTGGGTCAAGGACACTGCGTACTTGTGCAGCCGCTCAGGTCAGGTATTAACTGTGAGCATTCAGATGAATGGCTGGATACATGTTGGGAATCTGATTTGCCCAGCCTGTTTGGACTTCTGTGATTCCTGTCCCCCGGAGCGGGATCCTCCAGCTTTTAACTTAACAAGAGCTGCACCAGTCGGTAGGTTGCCTTATTTGCTGAAGTGAAACTTAATATTAAATGTCTGAAAACTCTAAAGGTTTGTGTCAGCTCTGACTGTTGGGGAACAGGAAAGGAGAGCTGTGGCATGGCTATTCTAAGATCCTAGGCATAGGAGTTAAAGGAAGATGGCAAAGGTGCCCTGATTTTTGCTGTGCAGTCGTGCAGGATAGCGGGCAACCTAGGAGAAATGCATCTGAAACGTAACTACTTCAAGCCATGTCTCCTAGTAATTGTCCCAGAAATCTAGCTTTAGCCTAGCAACTTACCAGAAAAATCTGATCTGTGTTTTGAAGGCCATATCATTATTATAACCTTCAAAATTATCACCTTGGTGGAAAGTGAGTTCTCACTTGTGTAACTTCCCATTGACAATGTTAATGCTGTAATCCAGAATGTGAAAGGTAGGTGCCAGTTTGCTTTTTGAGGGAGGAAAAATGCTTAGTTCACTGACTACCAGTTAATGTTTCGTCAAGAACAGGTGGCTTTCTAAAAAGCCAATTGGTGAAAGAAAACAGTCTACAGTATTTTGCACTAGCGGCTTATTTTTAAGCCTTTAACCAATTCTTTAATTGTTGGATGTGCTGTCTCTACTGCAGTTTTCAAGGAAAAAAATAAACCTGTTTAGTTAACCTGCACATTCAATTCTTTTTTCAAAGTGGTGCGCTTGGGTTTGTGTGCACCATTTCAAATAGTTTTGTTTTGTCTCAGAGATGGCAACATTTCAGTGGTTGGTGGAATGAGTCCTACAGGTTAGATTTTAGAATGAGAAAGCTGTAACCTAGGAGAGGCACATCTTCTAGCACCTATTTGAATTCATGCTTGGTGTTTCTCACACATACATATTTTTATCTGTGCAAGTTTACATTTGTGTCCATGGCTTTCTTAAGCCTCCTGGCCGTGTGACTACCTACCATATGGACAAACTCCCTGATTCATGTATTGGGTTCCCCCCTGCTTCAGCTTGGTGTTTTGTGGCATGGGTTCTTCTATGACTTACAGCCATACAGATCAAAAGTATTCATAAAACAGTCTTTTCAGAGTCGATGGTTTTGAAATGCTGCTTCTCCCCAGTCATGCCGTAGGGAACTTCCTGCTCTTTTCTGGCAATACCAATAAATTTTTCTCATTTGTTCTCCTAATTGCTGTTAGTGAAGGAATGCAGAAATTTATTTAATTGTGAAGGGAATAATCATGTTGTTTGGTTGGTTTGAATTCCTAGCCTTGAAAGCTAGAATAAATCGGTGCAGATTACTGCAAATATGTTTTTGCTCTTTGGTGTTTTTTTAGTGTTCTCTTTGTTATTTTACCTTCTCTTTAAATATAAAATTTATAAGCTTTATGGTGTTTTGTTTTTTATTTTAGACTTATGCTCCTGCTCGTCTAGCCTGGTTGTAACCCTTTGGCTGTTGATGGCTAACTTAATTCCCCTGCTAACAGGATTATTTCTCTGTGCATAGAGTTAAGCACGGGGCAAGAAGATGTTCCAAGATGATATACCATCACATTGCACTCCTTATTGTGGAGCACAGAGTTTATTGTCTCTGCAGGCAGCTGTCTTCTGCTGAACCTCATCTCTCCTGGCAAGTGTTGGTGCAGACGGTCGTCAGGGAGGTACTGACAACAGCAGCCAGAGTTTGAGGAGGAAAATATACCTTGTCATCTCAATAAGTGCCAGTATTTTCCTGAATTGCAACCTTTTGATTTTTTTTTTTTTTGACGCAGTAACAAGATCCACTATGCCAACTGTGTTAGACTGCCTGGCAACTCGGTCAAGATTTGAAACGAGAACTCTTCTGTAATAGAACTGAGGGTTGGGTTTTTGTTATGTCTTCTGTGTGACTGGTAGCAAAGCATCCTCAAACTGGAAATATACCTCAGTGGTTTAGTCAAAAGCCATGTAAAAATCAGTTGTCATCACTGCTAATAACCCAGGCCTAAACAGGTATGGGGAATTTTTTTGTTTGTTTGTTTTGTCAATTATTACAATTTATGGAGGGAAGAAATAATTTAGTGGGTTAGACCAGTGGTTGGCAGTTGTCTCCACAACTGGATTCTGCAGCTCTGAGGCTTCTCAGAATTCATACTAGTTCGCAGTAAAGTGGCTAATTCTTGGGGTTCACTTAAACCTTCCTACATGCACAAAGTGGAATTTCAGACTGGTAACCGAGACAACTGTCTAGAAATCCCATTCTCATTTAGCATGTGTCCGTTCTACTGTGACATTTAATACATCAAATGTTTGAATATTCTCAGAGTAATTTACTAGGCAAATGCATTTCAGTACTGACACTCAGTCTGTAAAATTGGGAGAGGATTTCTGATTATTTTTTATTTTTTTGGTTTGTTTCTGAAATAATGGCATTATTATTTTTTAAATAGTATGAACATAAATGCAGCTGTTCTCACTTTTTGTTGAAGGGCAAACCAGTAGCGATGGCAGCTATAATCTTACAGGACCATACTGACTTCTCTAGACCAAAAACTATATTGAGTGTGTAAAGAAAAGTCTAATCTGTCTGGAGGTTTTTTTGGTTGGTTGTTTTTTTTTTATTCCTTTCCCCTCCGCTTTTTTTTGACATATAAATACTGTGGATTATTTGAGTAGTTGTAATAAGTTGAGAATCAGACATTTTGAACCACACGAGGGCACACCTTGGTACAAAATTAATCATATATATGTAAGAGGAAGGAAATGAGCAAAATCTGTCTAGCTAAGGACAGCTGCTCTATAGGGCACTTGTAAGGATGTTTTTATTTGTTGCTGACTCTATAATGTGTTACAAATAATCCTGTTTGGAGTAAAAGAAGCTCTTACGTGGTCCGATCTGTTGTCTGTCCTGTTAGGATAGTTTTTGTTCTTGGAAAAGTGTTAAACTTGAGGGAGCAGATGCATCCAGTGCACTAAAAAATGCAGCTATAGGGAGAAGGATGGTGTTACCCTGCTTCTTAAATGTACTGTGATGTTAGAATTGTCAGTGACTAGATCCCTTTCTAAAAGGAAAGGTAGGGGGATGGAAGGGGTATGGAGCAAGATTTGTTTAGCTACAATTAAACTTGTTTAATAATAGGACTCCCACTGTAATTGTAAGAAAATTTTGTGCCTAGTGGACTTGTTTGGTTTTTTTTTTTTATTTAAAGACACTCTTACGACACTGCTGAGGTGAGTAAGCTGCAACCTAAAACTGTCTGAAGGCATCACAGTTGAGAGAGTACCTTGCACTGGGCTAGTTCCCCTTCTTAACGGCAGGTTAAGTTTGCTTTGAATTATACAAGGCCTAGGCTAGCCTTAAATAGGTGTTTCTGAGAAGCAATACGAATTAGGAATCAAATGCTTTAGATGTGTACAAGTTTGAATTAAGAAACACTGAGATTAGTAAGTGAACACTGATTATTTTAATATATGCACAATCAACAGTTGGTGTAAATTGATTCCTTGAAAATGTAAAGGTTTGAGAATACATCTTAGGTCCCAGAGGTTGATATTGTATTTTTTGTCTGTTGTGCAATAATACAGTTTAAATGGTATCACTCAGCAACAATGTTTTGATACTCGAAAAGAAAGTATCAGTTATTTTTTCTTACTGTGAAATATTTGCACTGTCTGAACTTTCTGGTTAACTTTATAACTGTTAAACTTTTTTACTGGTGTTAATTTATTGTGGTAAGTATTTGATATGCTAGTCTCCTGTCTAAGTGTGAAATTTGTCATATTTAATTGAATATTTTTATCTTCTACACAGTTGTTTATCCTGAGGGCTTTTCTTCTTTTATTCTCTCTTCCTGAGAATTAACTGAAAGATGGCTTAAAAAGTCGATGCTTACCTACTTCTGAATTGTATGCGTTAATTGAAGAAAGAGGCTGTAGTGCACTGTACCTGCAGGGAAAAATCCATCTGCCTGTCAGAGCTCTTGTGGTCAGATTCACCAGTACCTGCTCAGTAGCTGCATCAGTGAATCCAGTGAAGTAAAACTATTACTGCCTTAATAATCTGAGATTTCAGTCGTAATTTCTTTGACGTGCAGCCCTTCAGCTGGCTGTGACCTGCAGAACTGGACATGACTTTGGGGCGTCGGGGAGGGAAGGTACTTTAGCGGGCAAAATCCAACATGTTGCATCCTGTCAGTGCGTTAGTAGCTGTAGCCGTGTTGGAACTGCCAAGAAATGTGTCAAGTTCAATTTAAAGTGAGAATGAATTCATGACTGTCAAAAAGAATGCTTGAGTAAAACTCGCTACCTCAGTTCTGTTCGTCTGTGAGTTAAGCTTCTAGTCTGCTGTGAACTTCCAAATCTTACAATGAATTACGTAAAGACGTCTCAGGTTTTTAAGAGCAAAATAAATACAGTAGGAAGCATAAGCTATTTTTGAGTGCGGAACACAGCTAAAATTGTAGCTTAAACCAATCAGTTATGTAGCCTTAAGTGTAGTTTCCCCTGTAAAAGTTGGAATTGGTTTTAAATAAATACGAAGTTTGCAGGCAGCTACTTTAGGTCCTGTGGCAAGTGTGGCCTTGCTGTGGCAAGTCCATCCTATTGCATCTCTTACACGTGAAAAGAGAAATATTATTTGGCTGAAATACAGCCCAAATAAGCCTTTGTGTTTTCACCAGAGTAGATAGGGCAGCAGGAGCCCTGGAAATAGCGCAAAGAGATAAATGAGTGAGCCTGTCCGTAGCAGAAACATTTTCAGCATATAATGTCAACGGTTTTAATTTTTTAAAAACATTCCGTGTTTGCTTATGGAAGTAAATGGCGGTCTTTTTTTTTTTTTTTTTTTACCCCGGTAGTTCAAATGTGTAGCATTTCAGTTAGAAGTCGAGGCAAGTCATTCTTCAGGAGCACATTTTTGTAGTGTTTCAGACAATTACAAGGAGGAAGGGTGGCTTTTGGCTGGTGTATGCAGCAAGTAAAATTACACTGCAAAGCAGGGAATTCATTCCTCTTGAAACGAGTTGAGGTCTCGGGAGACTGTCATGGCCGTGGATACGGGTTAATTACCGAAAGAGAATTCTGGCCCCCATTAATTGACTGTCAGTCCGATGCAGCTCATTCTTTCTGCTGAGCGCTGGTAAATTAGGAAGACTGATGTCACTTAAGACCAGGCATATCCACAATCCCTTACAAGGGCCCGTTGGTTTTAAATCTTCCTGTCCCGCAAATCTTTCTGCTTGAATATATTTCAGTAGAGAGGGAGGCGCGTGTCCTTTCTTCCCCGCATTTCCTAGGAGTGACTTTTGGCCAGCTGAGCGGGTCGAGGTCCTTCCCCTGCGAGATTTAACAACCATTTTTTGCTTGGCTGAACGTGTGGGTGCCTGCTTGCACGTAACGCTCTTCAGGATTTGGGTCTATTTGTATATTAAATAATGCGATCTTACTGCCAGACTTCCAACGTGCAAATGTTGCCTTTTCGATGTGAAGCTTACCTTGGAGATAAAACAACTGTTTTGAGAGAACTGGCTGACCTTGAACATGTGTTTCCTATTTTGGTACAGAATGTAAATATAGAACAAACTATTTTACATGGATTTTGACTGGATTAAGATATAAGGGCTAGTTTTGTTATTTATGGAGTAAAAATTTCCTTATTTTACTGTGGGGAAAAAAAAAAGATGTCATACAAAAGAAGAAAAACTTGTTCATCAATAAAATGTCTGTAGAAAATCAACTCTTCTTGTCCTTTCCTTTGAGAGCTGACAATTATTAACCACAAGAATAAGGACAATAAAGGACCACCATTACAACAGTTATTTATTTTGTGAGAACTTTGAAAAATGAAATTACACCAAGTCTGCATATTGATCACTTTATTAAACTGTTATTTGATACACTTTGCATGTAAAATGTTCTATATTATTATTAGCTCATACATGACTTATCAGAAGTTCAGCCTGCCGGTGAAGTAAGGAGGTTCCCGAATTCTCTACCCCATCCTCATGTATTTGATACTTAAAAATTATGCAATATTTAAGTCTTTTTCCACCTGAAATGGAAGATCATAATTCCCTGTTTTGTGTAAAGGATTTGGCCGTGTGATTCCCGTTTCAGCTGGAGGAACGCTGGTGTTGCCCTGCGGAGCCCCGAGCCCTCAGCTGTGACCGGACTCCGAGCTGGAGGAGCTGAGCCACCTTCGCTGCTGTTCAGCAGGGTTCGGGGATGCTGCAGCCACTGTTCCTGGTACCCGAGCCAGCTTTGCTAGCTGCGAGGCTGAGATTTTTGCAATACATTTATAATTACAATACATTTATATATATTACTCTGATAAATGTGAAAGGCATAACAACATTCCTCTTAAATGCAGAGTTGAGATGAATTTATAATCTAGCTTCCCCCCCGCCCCAAGCAATATGTCAGCGAATACATAGGGAGATTAAAAAAATCACTTGCCTTCCTCTCTGCTATTTTGGAAAATCGGATAAAGCAAAGCAAAAGTAGGTTACTCTTCCTTTTTGTTTGTCTTGT